GTGGTTGTGTGTGTGTGTGTGTGTGTGTGTGTGTGTGTGTGTGTTGAGCAACAAGCCATGGGTTTCCTCAAACTTTCGGGAAGTGACCTCACACTGCCTTAGGCAACAGAGGCAGTGATATCATTGACAGGAATTGCCACTAATGCCGGCAGGCACAATAGCTGCTTGTGCTCTCAGTGGGCAAAAGGAACTAGCACATGTACAAAACACTTTTTTTCTTTTTGTGCTAAATATTAATTAACATGTTGTATCAAATAGTGAGAAATTTCTGGAGTAGAAAATAACTAATTTTGTGGTAAATGAGTGCAGCAGTGAGCAATATTTGGTTAGTCGACCTGAATATTGGAAATTGAATGATGTTGTTGTTGTTGTTGTTGTTGTAATATTCACAAACAAGAGGATTTTATAAAGGAATACATTTTAAAGGGAAAGTTCACCCCAAAATGAAAATTTTGTCATTAATTACTCACCCTCATGTAGTTCCAAACCTGTAAGACCTCCGTTCATCTTTGGAACACAAATTAAGATATTTTTGATGCATTCTGACAGCTCTCTGACCGTCCCATAGACAGCAAGGGTCCTTACACGATCAAGGTCCAGAGACATAGCAAGGAGATTGGTAAAATAATCCATGTGACATCAGGGGTTCAACCGTAATTTTACACAGATACAAGAATACTTTTTGTGCACAAAAGAAAAGAAAAACAAAACGACTTTATTCAACAATTCGTCTCCTCCGCGTCACCCTAGCACCATTTTGGAGAGTATCCACTGAACGTAAATTGCGTACGCTGTTTTGTCAGCTGCGCCACGTGGATACGTTGTTTTCGTTCAAATCAAAGCGTAAACAGTGTATCCTCATAGCACAGCTGACACAAAACAGCATACGCAATTTACGTTAAGTGGAGGAAAAGACACAGAAGAACATACGCTGTTTGCGTTTAGTCGATATTCTCCAAAATGGCGCTAGGTTGACGCGGAGGAGACGAATTGTTGAATAAAGTCGTTTTTTTTTTTTTTTTCTTTCACGCTCAAAAAGTATTCTTGTAGCTTCGTAAAATTATGGTTGAACCCCTGATGTCACATGGATTATATTACTGATATCCTTGTTTTGTCTCTGCACCTTGATCGTGTAAGGACCCTTGCTGTCTATGGGAGGGTCAGAGAGCTCTCAGATACCTTCAAAAATATCTTAAATTGTGTTCCGAAGATGAACGGAGGTCTTACGGGTTTGGAACGACATGAGGGTGAGTAAATAATGACAGAATTTTCATTTTGGGTGAACTATCCCTTTAACTGACCTGACTTCAATCTGTGAAACACAAAAGAACATATTTAGCATAATGTTTAAGCTGCTTTCTGTCCAATGAAGGCTGTCAAGCTTCAAAAAGCACTATAAAAGTAGCCCACAGCTCATGTTCCAAGTCTTCTGAAGTCAAATGATAGCTTTGTGTGAAGAACAGTTTTAAAATCCTCCATATATTCAAACTTAGCATGGCATATTTTAACATTTTTGTGTAAACTATTTCTGTAAGTGCGCCAAATGGCTGTAGTATCAAGATGTTTAAGCAGTGATTCAGTTTGAATATATGTGGTTTTTAATTGCAGATGAGTAATTGAGTGATTTACTGTGTTTTGTCCCTCAGACGGAGGATTCTCCTAGTCCGAAGAGACCGCGTCTTTCTCAGCAGTCTGTACTGGAGTTTACCTCTGCCCCTCCTTCCACACCCTCACCACCAATCAGACCATGGGAGCTTCTGCCCAGTCGCAGGCCACACCCCTATCCCCACCCACACTACCACCCTGAACGCTGCCACACACCTGTACGGCACAGACGCAGGTATGCTGTTGTTAGTTTTGACTGTTAGTACTGATGTGCACTGAATGAGCTGACAGCTATTCATGAAGGCAGTGACTTTTGTCAGGTGTGTTTCTATATCGCTTTTATAGAGCATTTTTAAGCAGCTTAACAGATTGGATTATTGTATTGTGAATGACTATTTTAGAAAATGACTAATTTTGTGGTATAAATTCATAATTCTAGTCTCTTACTTTAGTTCATTATTCCCCCATTGAGCAACTGGCTGCTGAAAATCCAGTTTGATATACAATACTGTATGTTCAGCTTTGAATGTATTTTAAAAGGTAACTTATTTCCGTGATAGCACATTGAAGAATAGCTTTTAAATTGTAATAATTTCACAACGTTACTGTTTTTTTTTGTTTTTTTTTGATAAAATAAATTGGTAAGCATAAGACTTCTTTCAAAAACATAAAAAAAAAAATAGTAATTATTCCTTAATTTTGTATATGTATAGTATAAACTTATATGTGACCCTGGACCACAAAACCAGTCATAAGGGTCAATTTTTTGAGATTGAGGTTTATATATCATCTGAAAGTATAATAAATAAGCTTATTTATAATAAATAAGCTTTCCATTGATGTATGGTTTGTTATGATAGGACAATATTTGGCCGAGATACAACTATTTGGAAATCTGGAATCTGAGGGTGCAAAAAAATGTAAAAGTTAAAATTTTTAAAGTCTTTAAAGTTGTCCAAATGAAGTTCTTAGCAGTGCATATTACTAATCAAAAATTAAGTTTTGATATATTTACATTTACAGTAGGAAATGTACAGATATCTTAATGGAACATGAACAATGATTTTGGGCATAAAAGAAAAATCAATAATTTTGATCCATACAATGCATTTTTGGCTATTGCAACAAATATACCCGTGTGACTTAAGACTGGTTTTGTGGTCCAGGGTCGCATCTGATTATTACTGTATGTTAAATGAATGTGACTTTGCCTGTGCAGTCCTCCAGTGCGGCGTCAGCGAGGCCGGCGAGAGCGTCTGTCACGGCACCATCCCCCTCATGGGTCCCCGGGTGGGGGACAGGATGAAAACTATCGCCACCCTACTCACCCACATTCGCTTCATCCCTACGGCCAGCCACCATCCCACCCTCCACCCGGCCTTGATGAGCCCCGGGCCTTTCACCCCCCAACGCTCTCGCCTCGGTTATTGCACCCTCCGCAGCAGGGAGCCATGGTGATGGATCTTCATGAGCAGGTTAGAGGGTTGGGGCAGGGTCTCTGTGGGATGATAACTGGGGCCGAAGGTACCCTAATGAGGTTTCCATCCAAGAAGGTTAAGCAGACTCTTAAGATGTCTTGTATCATAACTTTTTTGTGTGTCATGTACCCCCACAGCCCCATTAACAGGGCTCAAGTACCCCTCCATCAACCAAAGCAGAAATGTCTTTATTTTAAATCTTATTATACTGGATATTATGTAGCATTTACGGATGCTTATTTCCACCATGGAAGAAAGGTTATTGCATTTTTTTTCCCTCCCTCACAATTTTTTTTTTTTTTTTTGTAATTGCTAGTTTATATCTCACAATTCAGACTTTTTTTGTTTCCACCACAGAATAATTCTGTAATTCTGACTTTTTATTGTGAGATTTAAGATATTTTTCTTTTATTTGTTTCAGAGTATTAAAAAAATTGATTTTGGAAAAAAAAATGGAAAAAAAGAAGATGCCATTATCATAATTAAAATGGCCCTTTTTTTGGATGGATCATTAATAAATCAGACTCTTTATTCATAATTTTTGTTTCTGTGTGTGTGCATTTTAGCTCCCTCAGGGTACAGTGCCGGTGTCATATACAGTTTCTCCAATGCCGCCCCATGGTCTACCTGCCCCCCTCTGTACGGGACAGCATCTCCCAGCATGCTCTTCTCAACAGCAGGTGCCCGCCTGTTCTGTGGTCTTCAGCGGACAGCAACACTATCCAATCTGTAGCATACCGCCTCCTGTAAGTATATATCAGGGTGTGAAAAGGCCTAGATAGCATCAATTGATTTTGGTGAGCTCATTTGATTTGGTTGTATCTGCTGCCCCCCAGTGGTGGCAAGTTGTTACCTTCCTGTTTTGACCTTTGAAGTGTTTTGTAGTGGCTTGAAACTGATAGTCTAATGTCTATTTGTTTGTTTGACCTGCAGATGTTGCCGGCATGTTCAGTGCAGCATTTGCCAGTGCCGTACGCCGCATTTCCTTCTCTTCTCTCCAGTGATCCACCCTTCCTGCTTCATCCGCCTCATCTATCACATCATCCGCCCCACCTCCCCACGCCTGGACAGTTCTTACCTTTCCAGACGCAACAGTCTCGATCTGTGAGTATACAATAATATGCCCACACTGTTTTATATTTTACTAATTATTCCATTAACATATAACTATATATGTTTATTAAAGGAGTCTCTTATACTCAACAAGGCTGCATTTAGTTAATCAGAAATATAGTAAAACAGTAATATTGGGAGATATTATTACAACTGAAACTTACTTCTATTTAAAATGTTAAATTTTTTTTATTATTAAATTGTTATTATTATTAATGTTGAAAACATTGTTCTGCTTAATATTTTCGTGGAAACGGATTTATTTATTTTTTGGTTTTGGATAGTTTAAAAGAAAATTATTTTTGTAGCATTTTAAATGTCTTTATTTTTTGATCAAGTCGATGCATCCTTGCTGAGTAAAATTTCTAATTTTTTAATGAAAATCTTACTAACTCCAAACTTTTGAACTAGAGTGTGTGGGTATATGTCTGTATTGTGTATATATGAAATATTTAAAGTAATATATTAATATATTAGAATATTTACAATGCACAAATATTTTATAATACGTGTTAATATTTATATTAATACTTGCATTCATGTTTTTACTATAGTTCTGCTACGCTATACTAAAAAATATTTTAGAATTTAAAATATTAGCATTAAATATGCATATTTGTCTTTTTTGACTAGCCGCTGCAGAGGATAGAGAATGAGGTTGAGTTGTTGGGGGAACACCTGTCGGTAGGTGGAGGGTTTAACTATCCTCATTCGGGGCATCCTAGTCCTCTGCCCCCTTCCACCCCACTGCAGTTCCTCTCCCATGAACCCCTGCCCCAGGAGCTCTTTGGAGTGGTGAGTGATCTTCATGCTTCATCACCTCTGCTTGCTGCAATCTAAACAAGCTGATGAAGGTTTTATGTGTTTTTCCTGTGTGTTCTCTCCAGCCGTATCCACACTTCATGCCTCGGCGAATCACAGGCAGACGTTACCGCTCTCAGCAGGCTGTACCTCCACCTCCTTACCACCCAAGTCTGCTGCCCTACTTCCTGTGAGTTACACATGCAAACATACACCAGAGTGTTGTGTTGGAGAGCCAACGAGCTGTAGAATAATAATGTCACTGTTTCTACTTGGTGGACCAGATCTGTTCTTCCAGTCCAGCCAACAGCAGTGGGTCCCACCATTAGCTTGGAGCTGGATGTAGATGATGGAGAGGTTGAGAATTATGAGGTGAGACACTTATAAATATTTCTATCAAAGACAGATCACTTATACTTTTGTATACTTTTCAGGTATACTTTTGTTTTGGTATTCTGTTTTACATGTGCTTTTGTGTTTGACTAGGCTCTGTTAAACCTTGCTGAGCGTCTTGGCGAAGCGAAGCCTAGAGGTTTGACAAAAGCCGATATCGAACAGCTGCCTTCCTACAGATTCAACCCCAGCAACCATCAGTCAGAGCAGACTTTGTGAGTACAAACTTAAAAACAAACTAATTATTATTGAACTATAATAATCAAGAGACTACATATTAGGGTTGGGCCGATAGACGACGCCGATGGCTGACAGACATCACGATGTTGGGCCGTTAGGGTTAGGTTTTCGTTTTGGTTTTGTAAAGAAATGATGAAATAAGTTGTTTTTCTTTTTTTTCTGATTGTGGATTCTTAATTAAAAAAATAATTGAACAAATGATACATGGATTGTGCAAGTCATTTATGTTTGTCTGTGCGTCTGATCGCACGCTTGCATTGCTGTATATGCACATTTATGGTTTTACGTGTAGGAACACTTAATTAAATTACTGCAATTAGGTAATAGGTATCGGCCCACACTTTTAAAAGTTACCGTGATCAAGGAGTGCTGAGGGAGTTTCAGCTCCTCTTGTGCTTTGCTCAGCTCACGTCTCCTCCATCAGATGTGGGAAAAAACAGTGTTGACTGCCCGGCAAACCCTGAAAGCCCGCTGGCCTGCTGCTGCTTAAGTGAGTTGTTTATTGCAATGTTCAGATTGTGACCAAAACAACTTAACCAAGGCCATTTTAATTGTCTGATGGCGGCAACAATATTGGCCCCATTATCAGTAGTTATGCAGGAGATTTTTTTTTTCTTCTGTCTTCCATTCGTGTATACTCTCCCGCAATGCCTATTATAGGTTGTTGGCTGTATGGCTTTCTGGCATGAAGCTTGTTTGTAGGCATTTCGATTCTAGTGTCCACTCTTTGCTGACATAATATGCGGTCACTGACATGTAAGGCATCATGTTGCAGCTGGACCACATGTCAGTTGTCAGGGCCAAATATTCCACATCATCCAGCACTGCTGAAATATTTGTTCTGATGTCATTGTACAACTTTGGGACTGCGGTCTTCGAGAAGAATTTTCGACCTGGCCGCTCATACTGCTTGTCAAATGTTTGCAGCATGGCCTTAAATGCGCTCTTCTCTACCGTATTTGCTTTTGGCAAAAGCCTCAGATATGGTTGGTTTGTCCATAGTTGTTTTGCGAAGTTCAGTTGTGAGATGATGACGGGAGTCCAGTGGAAAAAGTGATTGACAGGTGGTATTTTGTGTGTTAACTTTATTTATGGGTTTGGTTATTGGTAAAAAAAAGAACATGCGGGTCGGATCGTGGGTGTTGGATAATAAATATATTACAATTTACAATAAAATAAATAATTCAAATAATTCGACATCGCCCAACCCTACTACATATATACATGAATATTTGTACTCTTAAAGGGGTAGTTCACCCAAAAATTAAAATGTTGTCATTTACGCTCCCTCATGTCGTTCCAAACCTGTATGAGTTTCTTATGTCAAACATTAGATATTTTGAAGAATGCTGGTAATCAAACAGTTGATGGTCCCCATTGAGTTCCATAGTATTTCTTTCCCTTCTATCGAAGTCAATGGGGACCAACAACTGTTTGGGTCTTTAAAATATCTTCTTTTGTGTTCAACACAAGGAAGAAACTCATACAGGTTTGGAATGACATGAGGGTAAGTAAATGATGACAGAATCTTCATTTTTGGATGAACTATTGCTTTAAGGAAATTCGAAGGAAAAATGTCTGTTCAGGCTTTTTTTTCTTTTAAATAAATTTGAACAAACTCTTGATGTTGAAAAAAGTATTGTAGTAATATTTTTCCCCTCTTTCCCTGTAGGTGTGTGGTGTGCATGTGTGATTTTGAGTCTCGTCAGCTGTTGAGAGTACTGCCCTGTAATCATGAATTCCATGCCAAGTGTGTCGACAAATGGCTCAAGGTAAGCAATCTTGCAAATGTATTAATTAAATTTATTTTAATCATTCATAATAATAGTGGTAGTAATAATAATAATAATAATAGTGTTTTTGTTATTATACCTTTGATAAATTATGTGAAGAATTTTCAGTGGTTCTCAACCTTTTAACGCAAAGGTCCCCCTTTTTAACACAATATTCACAGCCTCCCCGATATAGGCCATTTCTCTTATTTCCTCCGTAATTGAAAACACTTATTTTTCTCAAATGTGTTTTTTTACCACAATGCATGTTTTTCAAGAATTGAATAGATAGATAGATAGATAGATAGATAGATAGGAGTTAGATTTAGTTTAATGTATTACAATTTTAAACACTAATCTTAAAGCCCCCTTGGAGGTTGAGAACCACTGTCTTAAGGTGTAGCCACATTTTCCATTGCTCTGTGAATTTTCACAGACGAAATCCAGTTATTTCATTAGGAATCCATGCAATTGAGAATTTCGTGTCGGGGCAAAAGATTTTCTATGCACATTTTGCAATGACTTCCAGTTAATCACACAAATTTACCACGTCGACCAACAGAAAGCTGCTTGGTTTTAAAGTGACTTCTGTGTGAGCTCTGCTTCATACATTGCTACACTATTGACAATAGTCAGTGGACAAATTTGCTATTGTGACGGCACCTTTATGCAAATAGATTTGCCTAACCTACAGTTGTCTTCAGTTATAATCTATATATTTCTTAGACCTATTTGACAAGCTATCCTCCTCTGTCTTCTAGGCTAACAGAACCTGTCCTATTTGCCGAGCAGATGCCTCTGAAGTCCAGCGGGATTCCGAGTGACGCTGCTCACCGAACACACATACATACACACGCACACACCAAACACTTCAGTCATTCTCCTACCCTGTTACATTCAATTAACTCCCACATGCATAATTACTCCACGCACACAGATGACTGCTGCAAAAGATTCATAAAAACTTTATGCATCAAAATCATCGTTAGCTATTCATCTATGAATATCCAACTAACTGAGACACACACACAAACACATCCCTTTGGTTGTTTGATCACTAATTCTTTGAGTGGAAGTCCAAAGATTATGGTTTATATTATCATTCTGGTTATGTTCTGGTTCTGATATTGTTTTTTTTTAAATATGAATATATATATATAGTTTAGTTCTCCCCTTTGGGGGCGGGTGTTGTATGTTGCAGTCTTGTGTGAGTGAGTGTGTATGTGCACTAACATTCCCGGCTATGTGAGCACACTGTGGTGTGGTGGTCTTTACGAAGGTTAATTTTGTGAGCATGGGCTTTTATATTTTACCAACAAATATAGCTATATATAAATATGTATGTATGTATCAATATAGAGGGACAAATTACAAAATTCATACTTTTTTTCTTTTTTTTTTTAACAAGAAAAAGAATGATGGAACTATCGTTTTTCCAAAAATGGAACAAAAGATTGCAAAAGATTCAAATTATATCTATACATAAAATGGGGCTTTTGGGTGGGTCTTGCTCAATTATGATTTAGCAGTCTTTATAGAATTGGAAAACTGTGAGGTGTGTGTGTGTGCTTTTGTGTGAAAGAGAGTGTGTATTAGAGAATCAGTTGTTTGTTATTTATCCCATATGTATGGTACAGAACACTGGCTTGTCGCTCTCACTTTTATTCTTGTCTGGGATTGGCTGAGGATGCGCACTGACATGACATGTGATTGGTTTGGAGGGGCAGTGGAATATTCTCCAAGTTCCTATTAGATGTATCCTGCTGCAAATTTTTTTTCTTCGGTTTTCTTTGCCGCCTGTCACGTTTGCCATCTACAAAACACAAATAACCTTTTTAAAAAACCATTAAATAAGTATTTCTAATCCATAGCCAGTCCTGCAGATTGATTATGTAATCAAATCACCACTTTTCTCATTTAGCACTTGGTGTCATAGTTTACCCAAAAATGAACATTTGTGGAAACTTTACTCACTCTTATGAATTTTCTTCTTCTGTTGAACACAACAGATATTTTGAAGAATGTTGGTAACCCAGCAGTTTACTTCCATGGTATTTGTCCCCCAAACTATGGAAGTCAGTGGCTACCAACAACTGTTATGTTACCAACATTCTTCAAAATATCTTCTATTGTTCTCAACAGAAGAAAGAAACTCTTGACGGGCTTGCAACAACTTGAGGGTAATTCAAATTTAGAGTAAAAAATATTGGAATTTTCTTTTTTTTTGTGAACTATCCCTTTAAGACTTGCATTTCTTAAAATAGTGATTCTTCATCTTTTTAAACCCAAGCTAAAGTTTCATTTTTGCGAATTAGTCATATGTCAGTTAACCTTGTATCAGTGTTACCCACAATACCCCTGAGTTTACCAAAATTAGCGGTCACTTTTAATTTAGGTAATTATTTGATTTCATATGCCTTAAAATTTAGTAATCAAGGACTCACTCATGGATATGTGTATGTACAATTCCTGTTCAAAGAGAACCGATTATATCGTAGCATTTCCGTTTCTTTAAGAAGGGAAACGCACCAATTCTGCAGGACAAAATGAAGTGCAACACACACAGAAAGTACCTTCCCTTTATCCCTGCAAGGCTCTTGGTCTTAGTAAATGGTTTACGTCTCTTGTCCTTTCATTTGCTCTCTCGCGGCCCTCTCTATTCAGTTTTTTTTTTTAAACCGCCTTCCAGTTTGCTCACTCATACAGCCTCCATAAGGCTGTTATAGCCATTCATAGCCATGTGCGTTACTTTATAATGAACGCCTGAGATGCGTTATGACCTGGAGGGGTGTTTGTGTGCATCGTTGTTTTCTGTCATGCATTGTTATCGTTATGAATGGATATAACTGCCTCTGTGTCGCATTATGTAGGCTCTATGACTGGTGTAGAAAGTGTCATATGAATTGTGATGTAGTCTCCGAGCCTGCAGTGTCTTAATGAGAGATGCCTTTAAACCATTCTCCAGTGTTGTCCGCTTTAGTGTCATAAGTCGAATTCATGACCAGAAAATGATGAATTCTTTATTCTTTGCAAACAACAAATGTGCATTACCTTGCTTACTTAAATTTGTCATTCTGTGTTATAGAAGTTTTATTTTTCCCTGCTTGGTACAATAGCAGTTACCTCAGTTTTACTATTTATGTTTTTTCCCCTTATTCTTTTGCAACACCAATAAGAGATTTGTTTATTGTTTGTTTTAATTCTTACCATTAAAAATACAATTGTATCATTTAACATGTTGTAGTTTCATATGTATAATATCTGTAACCAAAATCATTTGAAGGCTTGATATAAAATTTTTGAACAAACATTTGTACTTTTTTTTTTTTTTAATGAGAGATATTACTAGTAATGTTTTACTAAGTAGTTTAAATGATTTTTTTTTTCTTTGTCTCTGACCTCTATTCCCAGTCTTTTGGATTTCATAGGGTGGCTCAGTAATAAATGTATAATGTTCTCTTCCTTGACCTTTTCTGTTCTTTTCTTTTTTCCATTTATTCTTATCCCATCTCTTTATCTCGGTTTGTTTTCATTCTCATGTTTCAAGTTTTACTGCTTGGTTAGCAGTATTTCAGCCCCTTCAAAAAAAAAAATTTGAATGATAAAAAACAGCATGGAATTCTGAGAATGAAATGGTATTTTCTTGTAAATCGTGCTCCAATGATCTTTATTTACAATGTCAAAAAAAAAAAGAAAAAGTTTTTACAGTGTACTCTCACCCTCATGTCTTTCAAAATCTGTATGACGTTATACTACAGGACACAAACATTTATAGCTGAATGTCTAAACTGAAAGTTAATGCAGGATTTAAGAAGCAAGGTTTTTGTAGAATATTAACTTAAAGACTTTGAATATTGTCCACTTTCACTGTATGAAAGAGCAGCTCAGACATTCTGGTTAACATCTCTGTTATGTTCAACAGTAGTAGTGAAGTCATATACTGTAGGTATAGAATGACATGAAGGTGAGCAAATTATGACAAATTACATTTTGGGGTGAATTGCCCCTTTAACTTGTCATAGGGATGTACTGTATACATGCAGAAATGCATCCATAACATGTAAAAATATCACACTCCTCAGTAGATTAATAATTCATCACTGGTTGCCACTGGTATCAAGTTTGCCTGGACATAGTCAAATGTTTAGCTCAGTCAATGAGCTAAAAAGCTGCTTTATACAGACGTTTTAATGCTGTATAAATTTGTTTATGCCAAAGTAATTTAATTTACACCAATGTATCTGTGGCTGTGTCTGCAAAATTGCTTAAATCAATTTTTCTTATTGCTTCAGACTATTCAGTTATTCAGACTAGTTTGAGTCCTGTTTTTAGGGGTCATAGGTTGCCCATTTTCCACAAGTTGATGATTCTTTAGGGTCTTAATGAAAAGTCTGTAACATAATTTGGTTAAAATTTCTGTGTGAAACAAAGCGACGGCGAGTCGTGCGCCTTCACACTAGAGTTTACGGTACGTTGTGCGTTGCACATCCATTCAGATGAACTGAAAAACAGCACAGATCGCTTGGCAGAGAGTGAAACTCTGATGCGCTCAGTCAGAGAGTGTTCTGTGAGTGAAAATATATCTGAGCTAAACTTATACTTAGCCTCCAACTCACACACTGGCGAGTAAAATCTGAGAATTTATTAGCAATTGGCTAATATTAGACATCATTTAGTCGCCAGAGTGAAGATTTAGTCGCATATGCGAGTGATTTACTCGCAATGTAGAGGGTTGAGAGATCCGCTCGATTTCAGAAAGGGGTAAAAATTTTAGTAGATTAAAAAAAACCACTGGGTGGATTTTTATCATTATAGGGTGGTTGTGTACACACACTGCCAACACACATTTCAGTTCAAACAACTTGTAAAAGTGCATGTAGCATCCTATGACCCCTTTAAGTCCAGTTAGATACGGATCTATAGAATAATTACAGGCAGCAGATAAATACAAAATAAAAAGAGTTGCATAAGTCCTGATGCATCAAAACAATATAGTTGTTCATAGTAGCCTGCCACGTTTTTGTAAAGTGTCCAGGGCTTGTTTCTGGATGCTAGATGTAGTTGTTTTCATTCTTTCCTCTAGCTTATCTTTAATATCACACCCACGTAAGCTCTTGGTCTGGAGTCATAGCATGGTGCTAAACAAGGAAGAAAGGAGCATTAGTTTACTGTCACTCAGTATTAGGGTTGCCACCCGTCCCTTAAAATACTCAATCGTCCCGTATTTAAAGGTAAAAGGCGATTTGTCCCGTATTTTACAAAGGCCAACACATAGTTGAATCAACAAATAGGTATTGTGCACTGTTTATAATACTAATCGCAATTATAATGAAATCAATTTCATAAGAAGTATTAGAGAAGTTCATTTTTGCGTGATTGCATTTTGGCGTCTTTGTTTCCATAACGACGGAGTCTCCAGAGCACGCGCCGTTAAAGCTCTTTCACGCGAGCGCAGCATGCGCTAAACCTGCGCGGTTTAAAACATCTAGAGCTCACATCTGCCCTTTGAACACAAGGCTCTCGCCTCTCACAAGATGTAGGGCTGAATGCGAAAGTTATCAATGGATCTGTTCGGTTACTAATAATGAACGCGCAGTTTGCAGAGAAACTTGCTCACGGTGGACTGTCTGACTTAAAGTGCTAGTTCACCCAAAAATGAACATTTTGTCATCGTTTACACGCCCACAAGTTGTTACAAACCTGTAATAAGTTCTTTCTTCTGTTAAACATAAAAGAAGATACTTTGAAGAATGCTACAGAAACGTCCACTTTTCTGTCCCTAGACTTTACAGAAATATTACAATTTAAATACACATTAGGGTTACAATATTTTTATATTTTAAAATGAAACAATATGTTATTTGAACAATTACACCTTCCTGAGCTATCAATGTGGCATTATTTTTTGTTATTAATTATATAGAATTCCAAGTACCACAAAACTGCTTGTCCCCACAGCCATGTACAGAGGAAAAGTGCTTTATTTTGAGGTCAAAAACAGGATTTTCTACCATTTAAAATACAAAAGTATATTCATAACGATCAAATATATGCTGTAAATGGCATAAAAAAAACAAAATGCCAAATAATTATTATAAAATATATAATGAAAATAGTGGTCCCCTGGAGTTGTGTCACTGGTGTTACCGCTTAACGAAAGTATTTTATTTTGGAATAAAAAATCACACTGATGACGTCACTCGACTACCTCCTTCCCCTTTCCTGAAGATCTAATACAAAAAAATATAAAAAAATCATTAAGCTGTCATTTATGTGTATTCATAAAGTCAAATGGTAATCTAATAATGTGGTGTAAGTTTAAATGTTAAAAAAAGAAATACATTTTAAGACATCTTGCCATACCAAAAGTGGACGTTTCTGTAGAATGACCCGGTAACCAAACAGTTTCTGGTCCCCAATGACTCTGATAGTATTTTTTCTCTACTATGGAAGTTACGGACCTGCAGCTGTTTAGTTACCCTCATTCTTCAAAGTATCATCTTTTGTGTTCAACAGAAAAAAAAAGAACTTTATGGAGGTTTAGAACAACCTGGGTAAATTATGACAGAAGTTTCATTTTTGGGTGAACCATACCTTCAAAGTGACAGACACATCCGTGCTTCTAAAGGTATAGGCCTATTGTTTTATTAAAATTTGGATAGTCAGTTAATATATTTCATACATTATCAGAGCTTAGTAGACATATTTATTATATTTTTAGGCATTATTAGCCAGATTAATTAATAGATTATAGGCCTATTTTATGTTATACCCTATTTATTAATTTATCATTTATATTAATCATAAATATATACATAATAAATAATCATATGTCATTTGGCATTTTAAAAAGAAAAAAAAAAAAAAAATGGGACAAATAATTACATAATAATGTAGTCCTAATTTAAGCAAATTAATAAAAAAATAATACAAATTCATCCCATCCTGTTAACAACTGCAGAACTGTAAAAAAAAAAGAAAGACTAATAATACTTAATAATTATAAATAATCAAATTTAAAATAACAATATTAATGTGTTGTGTAGCAAGTTTACATAGCCTACTTGAGCATGTTTTCTCATGGTTTACTGTTGAGCTATGAGTTCCTCACTGTTGTCATGAGTGGGTGTCCCTTATTTTGCCTCGCTGAAGGTGGCAACCCTACTCAGTATACAGCACAATGTTTGCGCTTATAGTTGATTATTTCCGGATGTGACTGTCTTCAGAGGTTAGAAAGTGTGGTCTCAGTCCATGTAAAGTAAAAATGCTGACTAAGAACTGATTGGCCACTCTGCTTCTGGGAATAATGGCGCACGACATTCACAACAACACAATCCGAACAGAAAGTCGTGCTCACAACCTTGAGTCACAAGGTAACGAGGTTGATACAATAACTACCTCTGACTCCAAGGAAGAAATTTCACTGGACTTAGGTAATGTTTGCAAGATTTGTGGCATTGTCTGAGGCACATAATAGCAGGGTTGTAACTGCCCCAAAAAAACCCAAACAGCCTACCATCAACGAAGCAAATGACATTTAGATGAATGGAAATTACAGAGTATAGCTTTCTCGGGGTATTAAACGCCTCCTTGATAGAGAAACGATTGCTTATCAAAAAAATATATTTAAAATATCATCTGTGACTAGATTTGTTGTTTGTCCCTGTGTTTGTTCATATAAAAATATTGAATTAAATTCATTTTCAAAAATGAGTAACATTAGCATAGGACCCAGGATGGCAAAACAATATTCATAATTACATACATGATAATAAAAGTTACTGACTACAACAGCTTCTTTGTCTGTTGCAGTCAATAAATGGATAATACTGATACTGAGAATAATAATAATAATAATAATAGATTCCCATGAGGGAAAAAAACACTTCCTGCAGAGGTTGCGCGGCGACTGAAAAAAATGACACATGGCAGTGCACATTTGGTATGCCTGTTTTAATTGACACGCTCCATTCATGGAGAAGCATAATCTGAATCAGGTATGTTATTGAATAAGGGAGACATACAGAGCTGTGGGTCCCCAGGACAGAACTGAAAACCACTGGTCGACAATAGACTATCTAAAGAAGAAACATTTATTTTATTTAAATGTACTGTTGTAAGTCTTATAGCATCCAGCTAGCTTATTACCTTAATTTACATTAACATTAATTTACATTTAAAAGACATTACATTTGCTGTTATAAAGAAAAGAAAAGAAAAAACAACAACAACAAACTCTTGGGCAACATTAGCTAAAAGTGTTATTTTTAAATAATTAAAATACTATACGTTTTTTTTTTATTATTTTAAATTATTAGAATTTTCTGTTTTCATTTTATTTGAGCAGTTTTAGTAATTAATTTTGTTGCATTTTTGTTGTTTTTATTCGTTTTTTATGTTAGTACAATTTTTATTTTTTATTTCAGTTTTAGTTATACATTATTTTTATATATTTTATTTCAGGTAATATTTATTTTATTTCAACTAACAAATAGACCAGTGTTGGCTCTGAAATGGACTTTTCCTCACTGCTTTGTGCTGCAGCTGATTAGCCTTACAAGCTCAATATCAATATGGTTAGTGTTGGGGTGGATTTATGTTTAGGACATTGTCAACTTGTGGGCACTTCTTCCACCAATGCCCACTTTTCTTCTGCTTAAATCTTTTCAACCCTTTTGTCTATAGCCTTATTATTTCTTCTGCTTTTCTCCCCATTTTGAGTTGATTGCAGCACCACCAACTGGTCGTAATGTAAGTTGTAAAAAAAAGAAAAAAAAGAAGAGGAAGACATCTATGACCTTTGAACTTCTTGGCCTAAAATGTAATTCAGGAATATACGTTTATTTGGCTACACAGGCTGCAGCTGATGTGCTGTAATGATATTCATCATTCTGAACAAAACCTTAACGTGAAGTATTTATATGTCTTCAATTCTGTCTAAACAATTCACAGGCTCATAATTTCATAATTAGAAATACAATAAATCTTTTGGGTTTGAAAATATTCTTTCTTATATTTATTTGCATACTAAATTCAAGGTCTTTTAAAAGCCACTTCTAAAGGTGTGGTCACATTTACTGGTGTTCGGCGAATTTTTGCAGGGAAATTCACTCATTTTAATAGGAATCCATGCGATTTTGAAAGTCACTTTAGTGTGAGCTGTGCTTCATATATCGCTACAATAGACAATGGACCTTGTTTTGCCTGCAAAACTTCACTAATGTGACTGTACCTGCAAAAATGGCACACTATACAAAGGTCAGAAATGAACAAGGGCTTAGGGCAAAAATACCACAGACATTTAAAATGTGTGTG